AGTAAATTTGTTTTTTTTCTTTTTAAATGAAAAAAAATACTTTTTTTTATAAATAGTACTCCCTCAATTTTAATTTATTTGTTAGATTTTAACTTGATACATGATTTGAAGTTTAATAAAATATTAAAATGAATTTTGAATCTTATAATCTTAAATTAAAGATTAAAATGTGCATTTTTTTTTCTTATTTCTTGAATAATTGAGGCCACTCAATGATGTTAGGATGTGAAACATGTGACTTATTTTATAATGCATTGAACCACCGATGCATCCCACTATCATACTCGTTTGGAATCAAGCGAGACAAATTAAAACACAAGAGATACGTTTGGCGTAGGTCAAAAAGTATGTTTAGCTCTTACTGCAAACTGAACACATGAGATATAAAATATTAGTTCAACAATCCAAAGTTTTATAGCAATCCATGGAGGAGCAAGGAAGAAAAGGGAAGCGGGTGTTGTTTTTTCCATTGCCATTGCAAGGACACATAACACCTATGCTTCAACTAGCAAACATCCTTCACTTAAATGGTTTTTCTATAACCATAATTCTCGCGGACAACTTCAACACCACTTTCAATAATATTCGTGCAAACTATCCTCATTTCACCTTTCACACAATTTCTGATGGTTTATCTGAAGATGATAAGGCAAAAACAGATATTGATACCTTATTTCTGCTTTCTTTGTTCAACGAAAAGTGTGCTCCGCACTTCACAGAGGCTTTGAGACAGTTAGTGTTGGAAGATCCAAATATTGTTTGCTTAATATCAGATAGTATCTTGCATTTCACCAAGGCCGTTGTGGACAGCTTTAAGCTTCCTAGGCTTGTTTTAAGGACCGGAGGAGTTTGTTCATTATTGGTTTTTGCAGCCCTACCACTTCTGCAAAACAAAGCTTATTTTCCTCTTCAAGGTATTTTCTTATCTTCATTCTTCAATTATTTTTTATTGAGAAAAGGAGTCTTATGTATTCCTCAACTCTGTTATTTCTCGTTATAAAAGTGATTCATATATACCTATTATGTTACATAAATTACTCACACACATTATTTGAAAGTGAAAGAAACAATTTTAAATTATTATTTATCAAAAAATATATTCATGTAGTCGTATATATATTTGATACTTCTAACACGCATTACTAATTTTTTTTTTGATTTTTGATTCAACAACTGATTTAAATTTATTATTTTAATGTTCAAATTTAATTTTTCACTAACTTTCTTGTAAAATTTATCATATATGCTCCCAATTTTTTTAACAAATACGAAAAAAATAAAATACAATATATCCATAAAATAATCACTTTTAAATTTTGTTTCACTTTTTCTATTCACACTGTTTTTCCACATATTTTTACAATAAAGCAGGAAAGAAAAACATAAAATAAAAATAATAATAATTAAAGAAGTAAAAAATAAATCAGGTGTGAAAAAGATCATACATAAACAAAAACAAGGCTGTTATGTATTTTTCGAAAACTACGGAACAAGTTGTACGTTGAGAGTGCCTCCAAAATTCAAAACTTTATGTCATTTTGGAAGATTTCAAAAGTTGTTCCCTTAGTTTCCAATTTGCACTCGTCTCTTTTCAATGTACAGCGATGACAGTTGGGTGGGTGTAGACCATTTTGAGCTTCAATCCATAAAATTTTAATTCATCCCACTTTATTTTACATAGCATTTTTTTGTGAATTAAACTCACCTCACTCCACCTTGATCTGTATAGTTTTTTTTTTTAAAATCTAGAGAAGTTAAATCAAAATTTAATGCTGCTAAATTTGAATTTGTAAACTTGTTTTATTTTACTTTTCAAAAATCTTTTTTTGCAAAAATTACAATTTTTATTTGTAGAAATAAGCAATTCAAGCAAATAAAAACATGGGTTATGCAAAATGTAAACTGCCGTTTTTTTAGTTTTTCACTAGAAAATATGAAAGAAATTTTTAAGTAGCTTTTATTTTGTTTAAACCGCAACCGCCCCCACCCCATATTTACTTTTAAAAGAATTATTTTGAGTTAATATTTGAGATGGTCACTCAACTTTCAATAGTTCACTTAGAAAGTCACTCAACTTTGAGTTGTTCATTTGAAAGTCACTCAACTTTGTTTTCTAACTCAAAAGTCACTCAGTTATTAATAGTTCATTTAAATAGTCACGTAACTATTAATATTTTACTTAAAAAGTCACCCAACTAATTTAATTAAGTTTTTCATTAAATTTTGTAAAATACAAAAAAAAATTAACTATTTTTAAAAAAAAATAATAAGATGCTTATTTTAATTATTTTATTGAATTTTTTTGAAGTATAATTTTTCTTTTTACCAATTTTTTTTATTTTAAAAATGGTATATTTTTTATTGCACTTCTTATCAATTTCAACTTCTTCTTCTTTTTTGGATCATTTTTTAACATATTTAATTCCAGTTATATAATTGATAAAACGGAAAAAGTTTTTTTTTGGGTCAATTGCTATGGTACGTTTTCCAAAAAAATTATAATTAAATAATTTGGATTAACAAAATAATTAAAATAAATATCTTATTATTTCTTTAAAAAGGTAGTTTAACATAAAAATTAAATTTCAATAAAATTTTATGAAAAAAATATTTAAATTGATTGAGTGACTTTCTAAGTGAAATATCAATAGTTGAATGACTTTCTAAGTGAAACATCAATAGTTGAGTGACTTTTGAGTTATAAAACAAAGTTGAGTGACTTTCTAAGAGAACAACTCAAAGTTGAGTGACTTTTTAAATGAACAATTCAAAGTTGAGTGACCATATGAGATATTAACTCGAATTATTTCTACTCGTGCTGCTTCCGTCTCGTATAATCTTAAATCGATAACTATCCCATATAGCCTAAAAACTGCTCCGTTCCATTGCCATCCTTACCAACACATTTTATTTTTTTTATATTTATGACACGTGAACATCATCACATGCACAAAAAGTACCTGAAACCAACTCATCTATCTGACCTCTTCCTCACATTTTTTATTTACAACTTTGTTCTCATGGACCACATTTTCAGGTTGATATATTTTACTGCGATCAAGAAAAAATAACATGAATTCGATGTGACACTTTAAATAATACTTTTCTCATTGATATTTTTTGAATTTTGAGATTTAAAATTAAGTATTTCTTAGGTCATATTTTTTTTTATATATCTTTAAAATATTTAAAATTATTTATTATTGTGATTTATAAAAAAAATTTAAATATGTAAATTTTACTTTAAATTTAAAAATAAGGATTTCATGCCCATATAAAAATAAATTATTTGACTTTCGAAATTCAAAATTTGTCATGTATTTAGACAGAGAGAGAGAGTAATAATTGTGTATTGCATAAATTAATTATTTCACTGATTTTTTTTATTTTTTATTTTTTAAAATCCACCCCCACAAGTATTTCATAATTTCCCTACCAAAGTTTAAGTAGATGTAAAGAAACACACTAGTACTTAATATTTTTTGTCATTGCTGGACAGTGAACACACATTTTCTCCTAAAGAAATTATATTCGAATTAGAAGGCGCCAAAAGAAAAATTGAGTGGGCATATCTAGACACCTAATACTCGAACGAGTCCCCATTGCATCTCATGGACATCCGATGATGACGTGACATATAAATTTTGGAGGTGTCTAGATAATCACTTTGTAAGTAGTAAAAACAAGTTGAGGTGTCTAAATTATGTGCATACTCAAAGTTGAAATAGTTACTTATTAGCGGAGATCAAGTTTGAGTGTAGGGTTTATGTATTATGCCTATAAAGAACTTTTGAAATCTTCCATGGTTTGATTAAATAGTGACGTTTTACACTTATTTAAAGCTACATTGAATCTGTTACTCATGAATTTGTTATAGGTATTGAATCTCAACTAGAAGAAGCAGTTGAGGAACTTCCACCTCTCAGAATTAAAGACCTTCCTTTATTCAAGACATATAACGTGGATGCACTTTATCAAGTTATTCAAGGAATGATACGAGAAACTAAAGCTTCATCAGGCCTCATTCTCAATTCATTTGAACAACTTGAGCAATTCTCCATGTCTAAACTCCGCGATGATTTTCCTATCCCAATTTTCCCAATCGGCCCCTTTCACTCTCATTTTCCAGCTTCTTCCAGCAGCTTGATGTCACAAGACCAAACTTCAATCTCTTGGCTAGACACTAAACCACCTAAATCTGTAATTTACGTCAGCTTTGGAAGCCTTGCAGCAATAGAAATTAATGAATTTCTTGAGATTGCTTGGGGATTGGCAAACAGTAATCACCCTTTCTTGTGGGTGGTTAGGCCCGGGTTGATTCGTGGCTCAGAATGGATTGAATTGTTACCTAGTGAGTTCTTGGAGACAGTGGATGGAAGAGGACACATTGTCAAATGGGCTCCTCAGCAACAAGTGTTAGCAGATCCTGCTGTTGGGGCATTTTGGACGCACAGCGGATGGAATTCAACATTGGAGAGTATATGTGAAGGGGTACCAATGATTTGTATGCAATGTTTCGGTGATCAAATGGTGAACGCAAGGTACGTTAGTCATGTTTGGAAAGTAGGGGTGCAATTAGAGAATGGCTTGAAGAGGACGAACATTGAGAATGCAATTAGAATGCTGATGGAGGAGGAAGAAGGGAAACAAATTAAAGAAGAATGTTAGAGCTGAAGGAGAAGGCAAATTCATGTTTAAAGCCAGGAGGCTCTTCTTATGAGTCTCTGAGGAGCCTTACGAGTTACATCTCATCATTTTGATCATGTTTATCTTCAGTTCATCTTTATTTTGTGTGGATCTACAATTAATTTGACAATAAAAATTTAGACTTTCTTATCTATTACTCCACATTCGTAAAAGTTTGGTATATTTATTGCTGCAGAGCTAATTGTAAAAGTGAAGCTACATGAGTAACTAGAGCTATTCAGAATGGGCAGAATAAATCTGCAATTTCTAGGCAACAATATAATCGCAGCTAACAAAATCAAGTTTCAGCTGAATCAGGTCTGTTTATGCGGCGGAATCATAGTTCTTATGTCCTGTATAAGACGGTCCAGATTAATGTATGACGATCCACCTTCGTTGACAGCTTTTTTTGCCAAACTGGCCATGTGCTCTGTTCTTTGAGAGAATTCACCATTTCTCTTCTCCATCAAATCTCTAATTGATTTTGCAATGATATCTCTATCACATGTGTCTTTTATGTCAAGTCCCATCTTCCAAACCTCTCCAACGAATCTACTATTCACTTGCTGATCAGCAAATCTCGGCCAGCAAATCATGGGCACTCCTTCAACTATACTCTCCAATGTGGAATTCCACCCAGAGTGAGTTAAGAAACCCCCAATTGCTCTATGTGCCAACACCCTTTCTTGTGGAACCCAATCAGCCATGTAGCCCCTTGCCTTTGTACCTTGCTCCGACTCCACAGAAATTTCATCCTTTCTCTCTTGTCCTATTATCAAGTCTGGCCTCATCACCCACAAGAACTTTTGCTCACTATTCACTAGACCATACCAAAATTCTAACAGCTCGTCCTTTGTCAACCCCGCGACACTTCCAAAACTAACATATATCACAGATTTTGGTGGCTGCGTATCAAGCCAAGACATGCATCTTTCATCTTCTTGCCACAAAACGCAATCACAACCACAACTTCTCTAAATCATACACTAATTCCTTTTTCGAATATCGTTAAATCTAGAAACAACCTATTGGATTACTAAATTATTGTTGTGATTTTTAAAATTATTATGTTATGCATTGTATTGTATTGTTATCCTGTGTTTAAATTATTATGTTATGTATTATATTTTTAAATTAAAATTTTTATCTCATCATTTAAATTTTGTGCATTCTTCATAGTGAAAATTAATAATAACATCAAATTGTATCACAAAGTGACGAAAATTTAAAAAAAATTAAAATATTATTAATTCGAGATGAAAGTAGTATATATAAAATAATTTTTTTAA